CACCTAAGTCTTTGTTCTTGGTTCTCTTTTAGGCTCTCGTTCTCGTCTTCTTGATTCTCGCCTTGTGTATTCTTTTCTTGCGTTTGTTTCACGGCGGTTTGGCATTATCAAAACCTGTAACAAAAACAGACACGGCTTTAGTATTACGAAGTGATAAACCGTGATTCAACAATTTCCCCCTTTTTGATAATGGCAAACAAGACGGGGTTTATGCATTTGAGAAGCAAGGTTTATTTGAAAAGATTCCCTTAAGTTCCCCTTTAATCAAAGCATCATTATTAATATTTTAAATTCTTGGAAATTTAATACTTTGAAAAAGATTGTTTAAGGATAAAGGTTCCCCCTCAAATTGTGCATAACCCAACATCTTCCCCCTTTTGACATTAACAAAAAGATTTAAAAGATAACTTTTATTCAATAACAATAAGGGAAATGCGGAATACAACGGAATAGTAAAGAAAACAACATAGTACTAATAAAGATAAGGAGTGAAGAAAGTCTAGGAGTCTTCATCGTCGTTCTCGTCATCCTCAACGTCCATGGCATCGCCGTCCACCTCTTCATCAAACTCGTCCTCGTTGGGTGACGACGACGGAGCATAGGAGTCGTCGTCCTCATCCCCGCCATCATAGTCTTGGCCGAGGAAAGTCCCATCATACGGAGGAGGGACGTACTGGACTTGTTTGAAGTAGGCGCACATATCATGACGTTGGCGCTGCACAGTCTGGTCGATGCGCTCAACGGCACGGCCCATGTCATCAATGTTGACCGTGAGGGCGTTGAGAGAGTCGGCAATAGACTGAAGAGAAGCTCGGGCAGGGGCAGCGGTAGTGACACGGCTTGTCTCTGCGCCATTGCGGTTTCCGGACTTCTTCCGGAAGGTGCCATCGTTGATGAGCCAAAGCTTAGTCATCTTGGTGACGGGGCCGGCGATGTTGTTGCGTGCAATGATCTCCATGACTAGGAAAGCATGAGGGAGACTCCTCTCGGTGCTAATGGATGCACAATCGGCCATGTTGATCATGATGAACTTGGCCCAATTGACGTCGGCTCCGTGCATGGTCGCGTGGATCATCTTGACGTCTTCGGTGAAGAGGGTGGTGTGGCTGTGATCCCGAGGATGGAGAACCCGGGTGAGAAGGTAGAGTAGGACCCTCTTCTCCAAAGGAGCGGAGTGAATGGTCGGTGCGCCCTTGTGCCGGATGAGGTTGGTGATGCCAAGCTCTCGAAGGACCACGCCTTCGTTGTTGACGTACCAATCTTCGCCTCCGTACGTCGCGATATCCTCTCCCCGAGTAGGCAGCCCTGAGACGCGAGAGAGGGTGTCCAACGTGATCTCTATGTCATAGAGATTGATGCTCGTCTTGAGGACGTCCCCTTCTCGGCGTAGGTTGGAGTAGAACGCACGCACAAGCCCGTGGTTGAAGCTTTGGTGGCTCTTGGAGACGAACGGCCAAAGTCCTGAAGCTTGGAGCTGGTTGTCGAGATCATGAAACCCCTTTTGTTGGGGGTAAAGCTCCGGGAGGATGCGAGGCAGCGCGATGGGGCGCATAGAGAAATAGGAGAGGAAGTGATGGAGCTCCGCCTCCGATCCAAACTCGAGAAACGCCCCATCAAGGTACGGGTACGTTTCGGGCAGCGAGGACGATGCATCGGCCGTGCTCTTCTTCTTGGACATGGTGGCCTTGGTCTTGGTTTTTCCTCCAGCCATTTGAGAAGAGTTTGAGAAGAAAAGATGGAGAAAGAATCAACTATTGCTCAATGGATTGATTTGGAGTGAAAAAGATGAGGAAAAATGACCCAAAAATGGGTCGTTTTTATAGAAAACACTCATTTGTCCGTTGGGTATTTGAAAAAGAGCTGTTGGGCATTGAATGTGGTGCCCAACGGACTGATTTTTTTTGAAAGAACCCGTCAAACCAGCGATGGGTAACCCTGACCATCGCTGGTCGCCCATCGATGGGTAAGAAAAACCATCGATGGGGAGGGGGTTTCTGGAAATTTATGAAAAAGAAAAGAGGACCAACCAGCGATGTGTCAAAAGCACCATCGCTGGTAAAGGAGCTACTAGAAAGTCTGGAGTTGAGCACTAAAGGCTTACCAGCGATGGGTAAGAAGTACCATCGCTGGTTTGGGAGCCACTGGAAACCCAAGACTCTGCAGACCAGCGATGGTCCCTTACACCCATCGATGGGTAGGGATAGCTGGAATGCGATAAGAAATTTTAAAATAACATGGAGTAAATGACCATCGATGGTGTAAATGTACCATCGATGGGTACCTGGTCCTGGTGGAATCGAATGCTTTACCCAGCGATGGTTATATTGACCCATCGCTGTCCTGACCAGCGATGTGCTTGGCTTACCATCGCTGGTTCCCCCTGTCTTCCAGAAACATTTAAGTGATGCACCTGCAAAAAAGGGTTAGAAAACCCTCCGAAGCTCAAGTTAGTAATGATTTAATGAATGATAGATAAAATGCACATATTAGATCAAGGTAGAGTCAAGGATTCCTAGTTCGCTACGAATTCGGAAGAACGACTCTTTCTCTAAAGGCTTGGTGAAAATGTCGGCAAGTTGAGACTTTGTTTCAACGAACTCAATTTTGACATCACCTTTGAGAACGTGATCTCTGATGAAATGGTGCCTAATGTCAATGTGCTTTGTTCTTGAATGAAGAACGGGGTTCTTCGTCAAGCTTATGGCGTTAGTATTATCACAACGAAGAGGAACGTGATCGATACTAAGGCCATAATCCACGAGTTGTTGCTTCATCCAAAGGATTTGAGCACAACAACTCCCAGCGGAGACATACTCTGCCTCGG